GCTGTCCCTCAGCTCTTCAGCTCAAGGCTAGCACTCTACCACTTGAGCCACAGTGCCACTTCCGGTTTTTTCTTTTTGCTTATGTGGTGCTGAGGAATCGAACCCAGGGCCTCAGGCATGCAAGGCAAGCGCTCTACCACTGAGCCACCTTCCCAGCCCTTCTGGGACCTTCTGAATCACAAAGTTGTCTCTTTTTTTCAAAGTTACTTTCACAATGTACATAATGAATTTACATTTATTCTAATTCTATTTTTGAAATTAATGTAGAAAAAGCAGTTATGTTCTTTCCCAGGTTTAGTTGCCTATTTGTTTCAAAATTAAATTCAGAGAACAATTTACTTCTTTTTTTGGTAATAATGTAATAGGCAGTATAATTGATTGTTAAGTCAGATTAAGAAAAATGTCATCCCTCCACTAAAACAAGCAGTATATAAAGGAGTGAGGAATCTAGATAATGCTACAAAATTACAAATGAGTTCTTATATAATATCTTGGCTTGTATTTATCAGGTATGACCAAAGTTTAATTTATTCAACAGCTGTGAGATAGCTAAGTTTGCTGAAGTCGCTTTAGAGAACTGCACTTCTTGTGTAAAATATTTCGTGTCTTCCATCCAGTAAGGTATACTTATGGCTGGAGTGTATGCTTAGCTATCCAGAGGTGACTGTGGGTAGCTGCCTACTTGATGGCAGTGTTCTTTCTAAACCAGAACATCTATGGGATAAAGTCACAAATAGACTGCTGTTTTGATCACTTGGAAAAGATCACAGAGGCCTTTTGTATAAGGGACTCTCTAATGAGCAAATGAATATCTTTCACGTCATCTCTGAATTTGCTGACAGTACTTTTGTTTTTAAATAGAGCAATTTAATGATCATTTGGCAAACAAGAATTGTAGTTATGAACCATTAATGACACTGAGGACATTTGCCTTCCCTATAAATAACCATATGCACCTCTCAAATACTGTTTCCATTAGCAAGTAATTCAAGCTGTCTCCCTAGTGGAGTTGATAACCATCCCAATTTGACATTCCAAAGTAGCTCTATCTCTTGGGAAAACAAGAGATTTGTTTCATTTTTTGTTTTGGCTTGACAGCCTTGAAAATTTCAACACAGCTTATCCTTCCCTTCCTCTCCATAAAACTTACACATAGCAGCTGATTGATTTTTTGGATAGTAGGGCGATAAAGCCTTAACTATGTCTCTCCCTGGCTGCCTGGAGCAGCCCCACCCCCAGGGCCCATCTCAGACCACACAGAGAGATTCCATGATGGATGTCACATATCCAGTGTCTCCTATGGCTGTGCCTGTGTCTGGAGTGGGTGATGCCTAGACTAGGGCTCCAGGCAGCAAAGGAATCATAGTTTGTTCTCTAGTCTTTATCTTTCATGGGGATGCCTCTGAGTTTTTTTTTTTTTTTTTTTTTTAGGAATTCCAGTTAAACAACAAAAAAAAGAGGGACTAATATGTTTCTGTATAATGATACCTAATAAGCTTTAAAACAGCTTAGAAGTCCAGGGTTCAATCAATAGGTTTTTTTGTTTTTTTTGGGGGTCTGGTCGTGGGCCTGAACTCTGGGCCTGGGTGCTGTCCCTCAGCTCTTCAGCTCAAGGCTAGAGCTCTACCACTTAAGCCACAGCGCCACTTCGGGCTTTTTTCTTTTTGCTTATGTGGTGCTGAGGAATTGAACCCAGGGTCTCAGGCATGCAAGGCAAGCGCTCTACCACTGAGCCACCTTCCCAGCCTCTCAATAGGTTTTTTATTTTTTTTTCAGAGCAAATATAGCTTCCAAAAGCTACAGAATAGCATGTATTTGAATAAACAAGATACAATGTTAAAAAAATATTTAAACTAGGGGAAAATTTCTCCTCCACATTTATTCCCCTCTGTGGAATATAAACTGTACACGACATTTTTATTAAGAGGTAACATATTACACTTAGTCAAAAAGGTGATAAAGCTTGACATTTATATTAAGGAATATTTCTTGGTTTCACATTGGTTGGATGGCGGGGGAGGGGCAGCACACAGCCAGCCCTGCTTAGCAAGGACCCCCGACTATGCCACCTCCCGGCACCCCAGGCTTCTTTGGGAAAGGCCTGCCATCCTCCAGTACCGGAAAGCTGACTGACTGACAGGGTGCAGACATGTAGACGTTTGGGTAGGAGGAGTCCCACAATGGCTGATGAGTCTTGTTCTCCTGCTTGAGGTCTGGTCATTTCTGAGCTGTCATTTTCCTCCAGTCTCTTGGGTAAAATCCCCGTGTAGGGGTGAGGTTGAGGGCAGGGGAGCAGTGGGCCTTCTAAGGCCACATGAGTCTCCCAGGACCTGGAGAGGGGGTGATGGCACAAGGTCTAATAAAGGCAAGAGGCCTGCTGCTGGGAAGAAAGAGAAAAAAGGCTGGAGAAGAACTCTAGGCAGAAAAACGCCTGTTTCCTCAGGTGTAAAATGATAAGGGGTTATCTCAAGGCTTTGAAGGCACCTTTGCCTTAAATCTTGGGGTACCTGTCAGGTTCTTATGGGTTGAAATGCACCTAATAGAACTACATCTCTACCAGATTTCCCAATATCAAAATTCAGTGTAAGGGCTGACCCTAGTATGGTGTTTAAAATATAACCAAAGATAAAAGTTACTGAAGACTCCAATGAGTTAATAAACTGTGCTGCTTTCACTAAGTGGCAGGCAGTTTTATGGGTAACTTGAGGTTCCATTAATAAAAATAAGCTTCATATGTCTGTTCAAGAGTAGCTATAAAATTGCATATTTCTGAGCAAAAAAAAAAAAAAAAAGATTAAGAAAATGGGAACCGTGTCTGCTCAAAGAAGGAAACTGATCAGTGGTTTATTAAAAAGCAAAGGAGCCTCCCAAGTATGCTTATGAACCTTTGTGTAAATAATGTTTATATAATTTAAACAATTTCTTTGGCTTTGCTGCCCCATCTGCCGAGTTGCTCCCCCTCCCCCAGTGCCTCTTTCTCCAAAAGGAAGCAGGAGAGCCATAAGGTCTCCCGGAGTTAATGGCATGTATCATTTACATTGAGGGCAGGGCGTGCTTTGCGCACTAGCTCACCACTGAGTGATGAAATGTACAAATGGCTCAGAGAACTCTCCAACCGGAAGGACAGGCGAATCCTGGGATGGAGGAAAAACAAGTCACCAAAAGTCACAACAATGCCTCTTTCTAGTTCACAATCCTCCCCACCACTGCCACCCTACCCGCTCGGAGAAGCAGTATAAAGTTGAACATAATGGTGACATAAAGGCCTGCCAATTAAAAAGACTGGCTCTTCCCTCTTCCACACATTTCGGTAAAGATGCCAAATTTCCAGCCACACATTTTACAATGGTGAGAAACATGAGAGCAAAGAGGGAGGGGAGGTGGAGAAAGGACAATGATAGCCACAGGGTAGGAAGGAAGGTAGGGAAAGTGTAAATGAGAAATTAATGATTATTTAAGTAACACACAAATGGTCTTGTAATTAACAAAGAGCTGTGAAATTATTCTTTGTTGACCTTTGTTTCTTTTACTGGATTTGCTATTTATTTACACTTTCCTATTTATTTACATTTCTTTATATATTCAACTGCTTTTGATTGCTGGCTCTTTAGGGACAAGTCATTTTTTTTTCCTTTATAAAAATTTCAATAAGCAGGCCTTTATGAGAGAAGTTTTTTTTTTCCTGAAAAGGAATTTTAGCCTAGTTGTCAGTTTAGGCCAAGTCATCGTATCATAAAGCCACTGAATTAAAAATACAGTGAAAAATCTCTATCTCTACATCAAACAAAACTGGGGAGGATCTGGGAGTCACTCATCAGAACACAAACTACATAGCAACAAACAACACAGGGAGCAAACCCCATTACCATTCGCAAAGGAAAGCTTTAAGAATTTAGGAGTTTTTCCAAGAATGACAGAGAGTGCCACTGTGTTTATAGTGTAACAGCTCAGGATGTAATGAAATTACACTGCAGAGTACTTTAACAGTCATCTCATTAGACCTACAGTTGGAACAAGAGAGCCACATAAAGTAGGCAGCTGCAAATGACTCCATTCTCATCTATTCTCATTTGCTATTAAAAATACCTTTCGGCGGCTTTTTTTCCTCCCTGACATCCCTACACAAAGTGCCCTGCAAAGTATGATACATGCACCTATTTAAATTAACAAAGGAATGACTTATTTTAATCTCACTGTGCTTTGGAGTGCTTTGGCCATTTGGATGAGCAATATATCATTACATACAACCTTCCAGCGCTGCAGGCTAGAAACTCAGAGCATGCAGCATTTGGTAGGAGCCAAACAATTTCTCTAGCACACAACTGTGTCAAATGCATGCATGTATTCATTATTGAGAACGAGAGGAAATAGCTTTGATGTAGTGGAAAAAAGAAGATGATAAAAGCACCTCTGCAATATGTGTGTCATTATCAATGGTGGCAGATAGATACAATTGCACAGCCTCCTATGTGATTAGTAAATATACATATAATTGCTGTGGCCAATTATCAGAAAAATGAGATCGGTAATTACAAGACAGAAAATTAACTAGAAGTCTTATTAAGGCTTTGTTTCTGATTCAAACAATTGGAAATGGCTGGAAAATACAACGAAATAAAAAGGAACTGGGCAGGAGGTGGAGGTCAAAGCAGCCAAAAATTATTTTTAAAAAAAGGAAGAACAAAATTCTGAAGAGATTGGGGGGGGGAAGGAATATAAAAAATAATGACTTTCCCATATCTGTTCCCTTTGAATCTACTCTATTCATCTAGAGGGGATGCTGAACAATTCTACACTTAAATTCTCATCAATAAAGAAAGTAAAGATTTCCAGGAGGAGAGAAAAACAAAGCAAAATGGAGGTAAAGTAAAATCTTTCCAAGTTCAAAGGATTATATGCAGGTATTACCATAGGAAGGATATGAAAAACAGGGTATTAGAACAGTATACTCAAAAGAAACAAGGCACACAATAACAGGATGGCTCCTCAATAATGGTAGTGGGAAATGGTCACAGAAGTGTCATTGATTTGAAGAGCAAAAATAAAACTTGCTATCTATTTCAGACCTGGCCTGTTTGAAGAAAGCTGTATGGATCACCAAAACTGTGAGAGTCTACAAGGCTCAGTTCAAGAAATGACACTTAACTGTCCGTAAAAACAGTAAAAAAAGATAGTTCAAAATATGAATGACAACCACCTGACACAGGGAGCAAACCCATCACCATTTACAAGGGAAGGCTTTAAGAATTCAGAAACTTTTCCAATTACAGAATTTGATGTGCAAAACATCATGGACTATCATCAGTTAGGAAGCTACTCTAGGCCATTTAAAAAAAATTAATTTTTTATTTACTCATGCATGATAGGCAAGCACTCAACCACTGAGCCACATTCCTAGTCTTAGGTCTTTGTTTTCTTTTGGTTGGTCACGGGCTTGAACTCTGGGCCAAGGCACTGTCCCTGAGCTCTTCAGCTCAAAGCTAGCGCTCTACCACTTGAGCCACAGAGCCACTTTCAGTTTTCTGGTGGTTTATTGGAGATAAGAGTCTCACAGATTTTGCTGCCCAGGCTGGCTTTGAATCATGATCCTCAGATTTCAGTCTCCTGAGTAGCTAAAATTACAGGCATGAGCTATCAGCACCCGGCTTCCTAGGCCATTTTTAAAAAATAGATTTTCTTTTCTTTCTCCTTCCCCCTTCTCTTCTCTCCCCTTCCCTTATTTTCCTCTCTTTGCCTTCTCTGACTCCATTCCTTCCCCCCCTTTTTTGTTGTTGCCATAATGGGCTTGAACTTGGGGCCTTAGCCTGGCACCAGTTGCCCATGAATATAATCCTTGCTACTCAGGAGGCTGAAATCTGAGGATCACAGTTTAAAACCAGCCTGTACAGGAAAGCCCATGAGAATGTTAACTGCAATTAACCAACAAAAAGTCGGAAGTGGAGCTATGAGAAGTTCAAGCCCCAGTGAAAACACACACACACACACACACACACACACACACACACAGCGCCTGCTGTTTTAATGTGGTTGAATATTTACCAAGATAGTTAAAATTCTGGACTGGCTTTCTACAAAGAGCTTGTATAAAACATAATGCTAATGTGGGTTTCATTTTAAAGCATGACACCAAAAGTAAATTAATTAATTATAAATAAACCAGGCAATGGGATGAAGATGTCATTTTAGCATGAATGAGAAGTAAAATGAGGAAATGTGACATTTTGCAAGAGTAATTAAATTTTATTTAAGACCAGATAAGTCTGTTAAGGTTCTTATGTTATAAAAGTTAAGGAATACTGGTTGGTATCCATGAGTAATTTATTTCATTTCTGAAAATATCAGTTCAAGTTGACTTTGTAGAACTCAAAGAATCACTGCTCCAAACGCAGGAGGAAGCCGGACACTGGTGGCTCACACTGTAATCCTAGATACTCAACAGGCTGAGATCTGAGAATCACAGTTTGAAGCCATCCTGAGCAGTAAAGTCTGTGAGACCCTTGTCTCCAATAAATTACCAAAAAAAAAAAAAAAGCTGGAAGTAGAGCTGTGGCTCAATGGTATAGTAGTAACTTGAGCAAAAAGAAGCTCAGGAACAGTGCTTAGGCCCTGAGTTCAAACCCTAGGACCAATAACAGCAACAACAACAACAAAAAAAAACAGGAGGAAAGCTGAGTCTCAAGTGCATATGCCAGCCATCTCTCTCTATTCAAAATTCCTTGTCTCTTGCATGTTCAAGGAAGAATCTTCTGAGATACAGAAGACTAACCAATCAATGGGTGGGCAAAAGAACATACATAAAAGCTAGTGCCAGCAGCTCATACCTGGAATCCTAGCAACTTGAGGATCGAGATTTGAAGTGAGCTGGGGCAGGAAAATCTCTGAGATATTTACTCCAATTAACCTAAAAGCTAGAAGTACGTCTTCAAGGCCCAGAACTGGCTTATATGTACACACATGCATACACATGAACCATACACACATCTTCTGAGCAGGTTGCTGGTGGTCATGTCTATACTCCTAGCTACTCAGAAGGCTGATTCAAAGCCAGACTGGACAGATACATCTGAGACTCTTTTTTTTTGTTGTTGTTGGTCGTGGGACTTGAACTCTGGGCCTTGGCACTGTCCCTGAGCTCTTCAGCTCAAAGCTAGTGCTCTACCACTTGGGCACAGTGTCACTTTCAGTTTTTCTGGTGGTTAATTGGAGATAAGAGTCTCATGGACGTTTCTAATTGGCTGGCTTTGAACCACGATTCTCAGGTCTCAGCCTCCTGAGTAGCTGGGTGTGAGCCACCAGAGCCCGGCACATCTGAGACTCTCAACCAGCAAAAAAGCCAAAAGTGGAGGTGTGGCTCAAAAACTGGTAAAGTAACTAGCCTTGAGGGGAAAAAAAAAAGCTAAGGGCAACACTCAAGCCCTAAGTTCAAGTACCAGAAAAAAAGTTCTCGGTGAGAACAAGTAAGATGGAAGAATGCATTTCCAAAGCATTAATCTGGATTGAAGAAGCAGTTACACTAGTAGCTCTCTGTACTGGCTGATACTGGCTCAATTGTTAATAAGTCACTCTCGGTAAGACCCTGGATACCATACTTCACTATAAGGGCTTTTTGGAATGTCTTTCTATTGAACTTCTAAGCACAGAGGTATGGAATGAAACCGTGAACACAACCTTAACCAAAAGCTTAACCTGAGACTCTAGTCCCAAATCAACTTTATAGAGTCCTGCACACAAGCTGGGACCCTGTTACTGAGCAGGCAATTATTACATAAAAATAGCTGCCATAAAGCATTTCAGTAAGCAATTCTAGTCATGCAGGAGGACAGTCTCCATGTCTCAGAGGTTTTGGTGACTACCTGGTCAGCCTCTTTCTCTAAACAAGTAAAACACAAGCACATCGCATGCCACAGAACAACAAGAGACAAGGAGGAAAATGTTTGAGTGATGCCTTTGCCTTGTGAATAATGAACAGTTCAAGAAGGTCAACCCATTACAATTGAAACTGTTTAATTATTAATTATGCACAATCTATGAGCAAAAGGACAAGTTCAGAATGTTTAATGGATGCTAACTTCAACTGGACTCTCTCAGGGTATTTTGTTATTAGCACTTGTCAGCAAGGAACTCAGGCATAAAA